TCAGACAAAGGTCTGCTCTGCTATCTAGAAGCTATAAAGAACTTTAAAAAATCAGACCTCCCAAATTTAAAGACCCAATCGAAAAATGGGCATCTGAAATGAACAGACATTTCTCAGACAAAGAAGTAGAAATAGCAAATAAACATAGGAAAAATGTTCAACATCACTGGTCATTAGAGAGATGCAAATGAAAACAACACAGATTCCATGTCACCCCAGAAAGAATAGGTGCTGTCGTGAAATCAACCAGTAAATGCTGGTGGAGCTGTGGGGAAAGAGGAACCCTACACTACTGCTGGTGGGAGTGTAGACTGGTGCAACCACTGGAAATCAGTATGGAAATACCTCAAAGAACTAGGACTGGAAGTCCCATTTGACCCAGCTATTCCACTGCTGGTTAACTTTCCCAAAGAAAAGAATCATACCACAGTGGTATATGTGTACCCATGTTCATAGCAGCACAATTCGTGATAGCTAAAACTTGGAAACAACCCAATCGCCCAACTGGAGACGGGATAAAGAAAATGTGGTGGGTTTTTCTGTTTTGTTTTTTTTTTATAAAATGGCGTATTACTCAGCTATAAAGAATGAGAAACTAGAGACATTTATAGCTAAATGGATGCACATTGAGGCAATACTCTTAAGTGAAATAAAGAGGACACACATTTGTAAATACCAAATCGTTTCTCTGGTTTGAGAAACAAAATGTAAATAAGGACTAAAATGTATAATAATGCGAAATAGGAAAAGAAGGTGCAAAAGGGAAGGGGAAATGGGAGGGGTAGGGGAAAGGATAGAAGGGAATGGAATTAATATGAGAAAAGGAAAAAATGGAAACAAAGTCTTTGTAAATAGGGGTAGAGGGATTCAAAGGAGGGCAGGGGAATGGGGAAAAAATAACCAAGAAGGATTATGTAAAGGTGCAGATTTCCAATGATGAATGACATTATATTGTATACCTCAAATGTACCAATATAATTAATAAAAGAAAAGTGTTCAGGTTAATCCAGTGCTTGCTTTACTTTTCCTTCTGTGCCAGATCATATACCCTGCTGTTGAGAATCTAACAGATAATATCCTCTCCTCAAAAAAAAAAAGTCATTCCAGCTTTCTTAAGATCACACGTTATTCCATAGGAAAGCACAATTGGAAGTGCAGAGTAACTGAGACATAGAGAATCTTACAAGTGTTGCTTTCCTGAAGTGTGCTCAGCCCAAATAAAACCAATGCATACATATGTGTTATTTTTATACATAATGACCAGTACTGATTGTCATCAGTAGCCGATTAAATAAAGTAATTTTATAAATATGTAACTTTCCCATAATTTTGCACAATATTTAAAAGAATAAGTAAAGTACTGTGGTTATAAATACATTTTAAAATTCAGTAGAGGGCACAAAGATTAGAGGTGCTAAATTTATTTTTATTTTTATTTTTTTTGGTACCAGGGATCGAACTCGGATCCTTGCGTTTGCAAGGCGGGCGGCAGAACTACTGAGCTAAATCCCCAGCCCCTTAGAGGTGCTAAATTTTTGACAAAAGCATAAACTTTTAAAAACATTTTTGTAGTTTTTACAAATTAAATTAAGGGAGTGAGTATAGCTCAGAGGCAGAGCTTATGGGAGCCCTGAAATTTTCAGAGGATGTAATTATTTCACATTTCTGAAGCATGTTATTTTTGGCTTACTGTAGGAATGGCAGTATAAGGCCACAGAAAGTATAGCTTTTAAAATGTCAAATTTAATATATGTAGTATAACATAACTTTAAAAAAAAAGATAAGTTGGACATTTAAAAAAATTTCTATTACTTTGCAAATTTAACATTGCTCCAACACCCTTGCCCAGACTGGGCATTGAACCCAGGACATGGCAGTAACTAGGCAAGGACTATACCCCTGAGGTCTATCCCCAGCCCTGCTGGAGTTCTTTAGCAAAGGCCAAAGAAATTTATTGAAACTGTGATGGTCACTTCAGTTGGTAATAGAAAGGATAGTTTGAGGTAAAGAGAATTAAGAGAACACTAAAAGGGGACTACCATGCCCTTAGCTTTTTCTTTTCCCGTTTTAACATAAAATATGTAGGATGCCTTCTCTGCCAAGTGAACTACTTGCTTCATTGAAACTTAAAATCTACAAGGTCTGTGGACTTAATAAAATGAAGTAAGCATTGCTTTGATTTTTTTGTTTTCCTCTCAGAACTTCTTGTGGATTGGCATAAAGTGAGAATTTTTTCCATTAATGTCCTGACTTTGTCATTTAGAGAGTCTCAAATAAATTTGATTTATTGTTGTTTGATTATGATGAGAGAATAATCGTTTTAAGTAGGAATTCTCTTTATGTTTATTTAGCACATTTCTCACCGTGGTTTCAAAATCATTGGGAAATAGGAATCTTGTTTGGACTTGAACTTTTTCTGTATTTTATTTTGCCAGCTATTAGAAGCTTTATATCCATTATTAGGAATTGATTTATTTGGCATAATGCAAAATTCTCTAGAGTTGAATATAATTGAGTTTACCTGGTGTATTTAAGAATAAAAACTCATTGCTGGGCGTGGTGGTGCACACCTCAAATCCCAGCACTCAGGAGGCTGAGGCAGGAGAATCACTGTGAGTTTGAGGCCAGCCTGGGCTACATGGTGAGCTCAGGGAAAGCCTGAACTGCAAAGTGAGACCTTGTCTCCAAAAAAAAAAAAAAATTGATTTTGATTAATACACAAAGAAATTTTTCCAAGGGCACTATAAGTTAGGTTTAGGGATTGTTATGAATAGGACTCATTTACTATATGCACTATTTTTTGCTAAATCGGAAGATAATTGGAGTTGCTTAGTGTTGAAAAATTAGAATGTTAACATAGCATCCTGAAAATGTCTCTGTGAGATATGTATCATCTATATACATGTGGTCAAGTACTTTTATTTTGACTCATGAAAGCATTATTTCCTAAATGTTTGTAAGTAAATCAGCAAATAACTTTAAGATAAAATATTGCTAATTCCTTGGGGGTGGGGACAGGAAACGGTGTATGTATTATGACATAATCCATATTTGGAGAAATTACTTGGAAATCAAGGACCCTCAAATGGAAAAACTTCAAGACACTTGGCTATAATATGTTCTATATGGCAATTAAATCTTGATGTATAAAGAGATGTAAACATAGCACTCTGTGTATGTGTGTGTGTGTTACCGGGGATTGAACCCAGAGTCTCACATGTGCTAGCCACGTGCTTTACCTCTGAGCTACATTCCTAGTCCTTTTTAAAAATTTTATTTTGAGGCAGGGTCTTGGCAAGTTGCCTAGGCTGGCCTTCTACTTTTCATTCTCCTACCCCGGCCTCCCAAATAGCAGGAACTACGGGTGTATGCCACCATGCCAAGTATAAAATACAGCATTCTAAAGGAAGAGTTATAGAGGTTTTTCTTTGTTTTGTTTTGTTTTTCCCCGTTCATAGTAGGATCTCATAATAGGTAATTACATTAGGTGAATGCTTATTTAATCTTTTTCTTATTCTTGCAGCACTAAGGATCGAATACAGGGCTCTGGGCATGCTAGGCAAGTGCCCTACCACTGCCCATCCCCAGCCCAAATGACTATTTGAAAAACACCATCTAGGTTCTGGAATGAATACTGATACATTACTCAAATTGTGTCATCTTTTTCCTTTTCCATTGTTAATGTTATACATATCCTTTTCTTTCAGTTGGATATGTCAAGTGACCAGATAGCTGCTAATCTCCAGACAGTTATTAATGAAGTCTGCAGGCACAGACCATTGAATCTGGGTAAGTGTTCTGCTGAAGGTAGACTTCCCTATACCCCAGTGATATTTTTATTTTTTTTAATTTAATTTAATTAATTTATTTATTTATTTTGGTACCAGGGATCAAACTCGGGTCCTTGCACTTGTGTAGCAGGCAGTGAAACCACTGAGCTAAATCCCTGGCCCTGTGATACTTTTAAAAAGATAAAATATTAAGGAAACAAGTTAACATACAAATATAAAGCAACACTATTTCTAACAATTAAATAGAGAAATGAAATTTAATTCTCCAAAGGATTCCTCATTACCTTACTAATGAGTTACAGTGTTTAGAGAGGGACTTTGTCATTAATAAAAGGAATATATCCTGAAACCATCATAAATGCCTACATTATTTCTACCATTAAATGTAACAGTGTTGGGTGAGGGAGCTGATTGCTTTAATCTAAGAGATTAAATAGGAACTTACTATGGTATAAAATCATTTATGAAATACTATTTTGAAGCCACAACATTCACTTTGCCCCTCACACTATCAGTTGACTTTATTTATTTTAGAAAAGAAAGATGGTTATTTTCTATCATGTCATGAGAGTCACTTTTTTTAAATGGGGTGATTCACAGAGACTCACTGAAGTTCATCAAGATGTGGAAACTGTAGTAGGGTAGGAAACAGGCTCATCCAGCACCTGTGTGTTATGTGCCATTCACATTCCTTCCTCAAACTGCACTTGTGGAGAGTTGAAGCCAGTCAAGGGTTCACTATACTTAGCTGACTGTTCACCTACAGGGTTAACCTTGATAGAATTTGTCAGGTTTAGTTTTATAACTATGGTAATAAAAATCAATATTGAGCTATATTTTACATCCTAAGGGAGTTAAGCATGCTGGTCATTAAATACCTCATTTGTTAATTCTTTTGCCCTAAATATGGCTCTAATTCTAGGTCATTATATGTGTATGAATTCTTACATTTCATGGAGAGCTTTGATTTCAGTGTAGGATCCTCTGAGACAATAGCAAGAGTGGATTGGTGGGCAGTGAATCTCCTGAGCAGTGTTGTTACTCTCTTTAAATGAAGCTCCTTAGCGTTGTTCCTTTGAAAAGCTTTTTTAAATTTTCAGAGAATTTTACCAACTGTTTGGTAACACAAAGTTAGCATCTGTGCTGTTTAAAATAAATATTTAGAGTATTTCCATCAAGTGTAAATATCACCACCTGCTCACTTCACTGTTGACTTTGCAATAAAATAAATTCCAGGTGATCATCTTCTAGAAGAAAGAAATGAATTATTAGTGTATAGTTGCAGGAATAAATCTCTAGTATAGCTACTACTTGTACTCTAGAAATGAAACTATATTTCCTTATGATTTAAAATATTTGGCAATATAATACTTTTTGAATGAAAATATGGATCCCATCAAGTTTCTTATTGTGTTTGTATTTGCTTCTCAGCAATCTGTGAAATAATATAAAAGCTGATTTCTGTCCTTGTTTTCAGGTCCCTTTGTGGTACGTGCTTTCCTTCGTAGTTCAACAAGTGAAGGTTTACTATTAAAGATTGATCCATTATTGCCTAAAGTAGAAACTGAAGAAAATAAAGAAGCTACCTAAAAGTGATGAATTGTGAAATTAATTTGAATGGATTAAGAAGCAGCAGAGAAAATTATAAAACGGCATAATTTCTATTCTTGGTGTCTTGTGATTTCTTGACTGTTATACTTGAAAGTGAATTTTATTTTATTTTTTGTGGGTTTTTTTGTTTTTTGGGTTGTTTTGGTACTGGGGATTGAACTTGGGTCCTTGCACTTGTGCAGCAGGTGGCGAAACCACTGAGCTAAATCCCTGGCCCTTCTTTTGTCTTTTGAGACAGGGTCTCACTATGTAGTTCAGGCTGGCCCTGAACTCACAATGTAGCCCAGGCTGGCCTCAAGCTAATGGTGATCCTCCTGCCTCAGCCCCTCAAGTGCTGGAGTACAGGTGTGCACCACCATGCCCAGCTTGAAGGTGAATTTTAATACTAAAAAATTTTACAGCTGTTTCAAAAATAAAAACTTTCTCTGTGTCTGAACCTACCTTTTAGATTCTGTCACATTGTCTTCCTTAGTATCCAGAGTCTACATATTGATAGATAATAACAGCAGTTTCTAGTTTAATAACTCCTTTGGGAGCTATAACCATCTGAGGAAATAGTAACATCAGCAGTTCCCATAAGGCAGAGAATGACAAAGTTACATCATAATCATAATGATTTCCTAAAGAAAACATATAGAAAGTGTTCATTCTAAGGATTTTTTTCCCCCAGTACTGGAGCCCAGGACTTCGTGTATGCTGGCCAAGCCCTTTACCACTGAGCTACATCACCAGCCCTTATTCTAAGGGATTCTGAATGCCATTAATATAGAAAATGACTGAGCCGTTAAAACATGTGGGTGAGTGATCTTTTAGGAGTCAATTTGCAATAATTAATTTGTATATTTTGTAATATATTATTATCATGCTCACATTATACATACAAAGCCTTGTGGATAGCATTTTCATACAGTTGACTGCATTTGATCCTAAATTGCTCTCCTTAATAGCATAATAGGCTTTTAATGTTTGTTGAATGGCTATCCCAGTGAGGTAGAACAGCTTTTCTCACAGATGAAGAATCAGGATAAGAAGTTAGGTGTAGTGTCTTTCATCAGGTGCCAGTTTGCAGATCAGTGTTGATCTTAAAGTATTTACTGATACAAAATGGAAAATATAAGGATAATTTTTGGAAAGTGATTGCCAAGTGTCCTTTCTTGGGAATGATTTCCTTTACTCTGAGACTCTTATTCTACTTTTTAAGGGAGCATTTTATTTATTTATTTATTTATTTATTTATTTATTTATTTTAAGGGAGTATTTTAAATGATGTTTCTTTTATAGTACAGTAGTGATGGTAAATTTGTAGTGACACCCAATTTAGGAGGAAAAGTTTGACAGCTCTATGTATGTCTCCCAAATTTTGTTGTTTTTTTTTTTCGGTACTGGGGATCAAACTCGGAACCTTGCTCTTGCGAGGCAAGCGTCGGAACCACTGAGCTAAATCCCCAGACCCTCCCAAATTGTTTTTGAAATTTTAATAGCCTGGGAGGGCCAAATAACTGAACAAACACTGTATCCTACTAAGCTTTTTCTTTCTTCCATTGGAAAATTAAAATTTAGAAGTTGTTTACCAAGCCCTAACAGTACAACACAGTAAGAACACTTTTCTACTAAGCACCTCCTGCTATCTTATGCTATTTTTTTTTTTTCTTTTGGTACTGGGGATTGAACTTGGGACCTTGCGCTTGCAAGGCAGGCACCAGAACCACTGAGCTAAATCCCCAGCCCTATCTTATGCTTTATACCCTCCATTTTGTCCTCACAGTGATTGGCTGAGGAAAGTGGCTTCTCACTTTGCAGATAAGGAGTGAATCTGAGTTCACTGGTCAGTTGCAGTTTGCTCTCTCGCAGAGAACATTTCAGGGTCTTAATAACAGACCTGTGGATTTATTTATTCCCTTTTCCTTTATTAGAATTTTTCTGTTGTCTAACGAGAACCTTGTTTGAGGGTTTATAATGGTATGCTTCTAGAAAAATAGAACTGCAGTATATTACTCTTAATGGAATTCTTTCTCTTTATTCTTAAAGAACAGTAAATTAAATCATTTTTTAAAAAATAGACTTAAAAGTTTTTATTGAAAATACTAGTGATTTTCAAACTTTAATTTGCATTCAGCTCATTCAAATTTGTGCAAAACAAAAGTGCTGGACTTTGCCCAGCAATGTGGCTGAATCTAGAAAATTTTCTTTTCTAACCAAATGATGATAATGCTGATCCAGGGGACCACACTTCAAGGTCCACTGGTATACACCAATGGTTCTTTTGTCTCTGGCTGTAATTTTAAAAACTCTAATGTTGGGACCAGTTACATTTTAAAATTCTACAAGTGATTCTGAAGCACCAGGGTTGAGAATCACTGTTGTATATACCATTAACCAAATTATAAGAGATATAAAATTTGTAATGTAAGACAGATGAAAAAAATGAATTGAACTCTTAAGGATGAGTTTCTGACTTTCTGGTCTTTATGAGATTTCATGTAAAATAAGGAAATCATGTGATCACCAGTACTCTGTGTGTGTGCGTGTGTGCGTGTGTGTGTGTGTGTGTGTGTGTGTGTTACTGAGGATTGAACCCAGGGCCTTCTTACTGAGCTATGTCCCCAGATCTTCTAAATTATTTATTTATTGGAGACAGGTTCTCACTAAGATGTCCAGGTTGAATTTGAACTTCCAGTCTTCCTGCATCAGCCTCTCAGGGTCCTGGCTGGCTACCAGTGTACTTTATAAACACAAATGAAGCAAATTTGATAGTATTATTTAATACTATCTTGTTAAAAACTAGATGGTTGGGGTGGGATGGGAGGATCTGTTAAATAGTTTTTTAGGATTTTTTTTCCCATTCCCTTAAATTTTTTATAATAAGTAGTCAATTATAGTGTCCAGTAGGTGGCGATAATAGCCTTTCATTCAATTTTTAAATAGTTCTGTACTTAACTGGTAGATTCTTGAGTTTTCACTTGACTATAAATAAAATAGCAAAAGTACTTTATAGGCCACTTACAGTCTTGTTTTGAAGTTTTTTGTTTTTGGGCATGTTACAGAGGTTACTTTAGATGTGTAATAATGCATATTTAGAAGTTTTAAAATTACATTTCCTTTTTATCACAGAATTTTTCAAATATGCAAAAGATAAAATAATAAAGTAATGAATGCTCACTCACATATCACCCACCCAGCATCAGCAATTTTCAACTTTCTGCTGTAGTTCTAGTTTCATGTGTCCCATCTTCCTAGCACTCCTAACTTGTCCTCAACCCCGCTAGAATAATTAAAAGTAAATCTCATTTATCATTTCACTTAATCTATAAGTTTTTTAAATATTCTGGCTAATTACAAGATTTTAGGTCCATTTCTCAAAGTCCGTTGTTTTGTGTTTCTCTGGGGCCACTGCGGGTCACTGGGTTTTATCTTTAGACATGGCCTTTTCCTGCATGCCCTGCTTGGTCTCGGAGTCGGGGGCTCAGGCTGTCCTCCCACCTCTGCCTCGTGAGTGGCTGGGACTGAAGGTATGTGTTATCATGCTCAGCTTGGTCTTTTTTTGGGGGGGGAAGTAAGATTTCTTCACACCATAATGGACAAAACACCTGTTTCCAGTGCTTAGTATCAATGTTGTGCCATAACTAGCCACAAAAGATTTCATGTAAATGTCAGTACTTTGAAAAATAGTTGAGGTCTTTCCACTAGACTTTTTATTTTTGAGTCAAAATATAAAATTAGAAATTTATAAAGGAATCAAAAATATATTTGGATATCTTTTATCTAAAAGTATTCAAAGGAACAAAAATCTTAGCATATTGTTTTGCTTTTTAAAATATGGCTGGGATGTAGCTTAGTTGTAGAGCACTTTCCTGGCCTGTATAAGGACCTGGATTCAATCCTAGTACAGAAAAAGAAAGAGGAAAGAAGGAAGGAAAACAAAGAAAAAAAAGCATCCAAATGTATTCTGTTCGCCTTAAAGATAAGAAAAAGGAGTGCCCTTCTGTCAAGAGCAGATAGACGTGCTGACACTGTTCCTTTGAAGATCAAGTCCAAAGATGGAGGCCCAGGGTGGGCCCCTCCAATCAGAGCTGTGTCTTGAGCAGCAATGAGAAGGTCTGGGAGGAGGCTGCAGCTTCCTGTGCCACCAGGGCTCAGCCTCCGGTGAGCCATGGGGTGATGTCCTCTGGACCCTCAAAGACAGAGGTTCGTGGGCACCCCATGCGCCTGGTGTGTGCCTTGAAGACAACTATCCCCAAGGCTCTTTGTGCTTAGCCATTGAGCTTCACCTCCGGCTATGTCGGCCAACCTCGAAACCCATATGACCTGGCTCGGCTCACCTCCCTGAGCCGGTCCCTGGGCGAGCTTAAGGCCAAGATGCTGTTGCTGCTGCTCCTGCTGCCACTTTCCTCTGCGCAATGCTCGGAGGGTGTGAAGCCCTGGCCTGCCTGCAGCCTCTGCCACTGCAGTCATCCCTGCGCTAGGGGCCTGCAGGCCAGGGGTCTCTGGGCCAGGAGGGACTGCTGGCTGACCCGCCGGGCCCTCTGCAGGGCACCTTTGCCCTGGGCTCCCCACACTTGGAGGAGGAGCCGACTGGGACTCTGGACCCGGATCGTCCTTTGAGCAGCCTCTTAAGAGTCAAAGTGATTGACCCAGAGCACCCAGCCAGCCTCCCCAGGTGCCCTTTACCCGTGATCAGCCTGGGAACTTGCGAGTGAAAACCCAGAGGAAGGCCAGCAGGAGTTGCCACACAGACCAAAGAAAGTCGGTCACATTGCTTTCCTTGGAGGTCCCAGAACCTAAGAGAAGGACACAGAACCCCATGCATGGGCCATCTGCTTTCAAGGTGTTTGAGACCAGAAAGTGAGTGGCCTGGTCCTTCTTGCCCAGGCCAGGGCCGCTGGACACATGCAAGCTGCCCAGCCCTACAGGAGCCTTGTCTGCTGCTCAACCTGTGTCTACCCAGGATAGGGTCTCATCCCAGCATCTGCTGCACAGCCAGAAGCAGCCACCCCGCTGCTGTCCTACTGGGGGCCTCAGGCCTTCCCAGCCTTCCCAGAGCTACACCAAGTAG